CAATTGCACAGATCGATGCTCATGCCGTTGATCACTGGATTGTCTGGTATGGACTCGATTATTTACAAACCGCCGCCATATAGCTGGGATATTGCTGGGGGCGGCGTTAAACTAAATTCACTCATTCACTACTCATGGTGATACTCTATCTCTACTATAAACCGATGGAAGTTCTATTGTTTACGACAGAGGTCAGGGTTATCCTATTAACTTTGCTACTTATTAAACTTATTAATGGAAGCAGATATATTATATTTCCAAATAGTTATTCTACCTAAATGCATTCAACAACCTTATAATTGACCATCCGGTTTTAACTATTGAAAACGGCATTTGAATCTGTCTGCGGCTAACATTGAGATCCTATTTTGTGAAATACCCAGTCATGTTGGTATTAGGGATAAATCCAAGGCAGATTCCAAGTCATTGTCATACTGCTATTAGGCAGAACGTCCAGCATATTACAGTTTTAGTGCCCATCAGTGTTATTCTATATTCGTTTCGGTAGGAAGGATTTTCAAGCCGCGAATAGCTGCAATATTGCTTATGCGGTTTACAACAACATTTACTCACTTGAATGTTTGTTGTGTCCTTCAGGATACATCATGTATTCGAATATACCTAACTGCTCATGCAGTGCTGCATCAGCTAGCTCTAACTGGAAACGTCAGTCAACCTTGCCCAGGACACAGACGCACAAGACCAACAAGACCCGCAGCAACGGGACCGAAATCCAGGGGACACTTGCATTCACTATATTTTAAGTAAATATTTCCAGATAATGCACCGGTTTTCAATTCCAATTTCATTATAGACAATAGCTGTAGACGTATACTTCTAGTTGATTGATTTTCTTTGTTAGATATTTTCTTTTTAACTTCAAACATTCTATTTCTGATTCAAGTTTTTCGTTTTGTTTTGCTTGCACATTCACCGTGGGTATCTCAGTTGCATAGATAGATGCTCATGCTGTTGATCACTGGATTGTCGGGTGCAAACTGTTATTTCCAGACGCCGCTATAAAGCTGGAAGAATTAGTTCCTTGTAATTGTCTTGTAAAATAATAGGCATGGTAACACACATATTGAAAGTTTTAGCAACTGGGTAGCTTAAAATATCCTGTTTACATATCTAGATATCTTTATAATACAATTAATATATAATCATCCTTTCCCTTTTCATTAGGTACTATGATTCATTTGAAATATTCGAGTGAGTGAGTGAGTTAAGATTTATCGCCACATCGACAATATTTCAGCCATATCGTGACGAGAACAATTCATTATTGTATTATAGAACAATAAAATTAGAAACTAAAAGACTGTTGATGAAGAACAGTAAAACTACCAGTGTAGCACAGATATTAAAGTAAACCTAGCATGCTATCATAAAACGACATTTTTAAAGAGAACAATACAATTTAAAAACAGGCTATGGATTTCCAACAATTGAAGGTAGATCACCATACCAGGGACTGAAATATTCGAAAAGTAAATAAATACTGAAGCATCATAACATTATAAACCGATGAAACAGTGGACACGACACTACGTATAGTCATATAGGTCCACATGGTCTACTTATAAAGAGAACCGTGCCTTCTTTCAAGCATATCTGTTTCGGTTGATACTTGAGGAGTTTATCTGGTCGACCACTGAGTTGGATCCATCGTAATCTCTTCTCAAAATTACTCTTGGGTTTTGGATATAGTACATTTTTTACGACACACTGCAAAATAATACGTTTTTGCTGCAAACAATCGTCAGATGTTTGATACTAATACAAGACACTTGATATGGATGTGCAACTTCTTTATTATTTACACACGACGTTTCTGGGCAGTCGTCGTTTATTTGCCTGAGGAAGTGTCAATAGATGAACGATGAACGGATGCGTCCGCAGGTAATGAAAGTGATAACCAGCCTGGTTCCCGAGGCCTGCTACGCTACGCTTCCACACTGACCCCGGCAATGACTGCCGACGGTGGGCCTTCACTACTGGGCGACACACAATACATTTAGTTATTTACTATCGAAAAATCCGGGAACGGGTGGTTAGAAGTTTCATAGCATTTACATCGATACTGTGGCAAGATATACGTCACCAGGACAACGCCCTTCGTTACTTTTAGTGAAAACGTTAATAAAGCAGTCTCAATACACGAAAGTTCTCTTTTCATGGGCAAAATAAAACAATGACAATCCCTTCCCCCCATTAGTCTGCTCGCTATCGTCACGAAATCGTACATATAAAAGATGGATCGGAACGACCACGTTGATTAGATATAGTTAGCATCTTTAATTTAGCAAATTTGATAGCGAAAATATCGCCGATTGTGTTCCATCGTTACATGGTAAGTTTAGCGGATATATTTTTCGAGCGCCCTGTGAAGTAACTAGGGGAAAAGTTATAGGTCCATATGAATGATGTTACTGACAGGGTTTCTCATTCTAATATTTAGCCTTTGGCAATTTGTTAATGTGAAAAGCCTACAAATTTCACTAGTATCATTAAATGAAGTGTAAATATCCGGCATTGTGGTCTGATTTTATCTGGCAATCAAATGTTGCATCATATAGCAGGTTAATGACCAAAAGTGAGTGAATGCTTTTCTGCGCGAGGTGCAGTATTTTGTTATTTCGTATGCATAATCGAAGATGATTCCCTTTGTAGCCAGTTTATCGATGTTTGGGGTCTTCAGTTTGGATTCAGAAAACCATCATCATTCCAGCCCCCACAAGCACACAGAGAGTAAAGACAACAGTGTTAAAGGTCACATGCAACCAAAAAATCACAATTATCACTTATTCATGACATATAATACACATTGCTGATTATGAAAAAACATATAAACAAAATTATAAGCGTACAATTGCAAATCAAAAGTGCAATATTGTGTACTTGGGTTTACTTCCCCAAAAACGAAGCAACCGGGATACCGAACCCAGTCAGAGCGGGTGGGTGTGCACTCAAGGGTAACGGCTGGTTCATTTGCAGATGCCCTCACGGCTCATTGTGTGTGTGTATATAGAGATGTTGGGTTTTGTTAATACATGCTAATTTTTTGTGTATAACATTTTGCAATCAACAGACATCATAACATATCATGTGTTCAAGTATCACACCTGCCTGTCTGTGTAATTACATAATGTGACAGAGACCGAACTTTGGCAGTTAATCAATGCATTTTGTTTATGGTGTATAGCCTGATTGGTTTTAAGTTCAAATTGCATGTGGCCAGTGATCGCAGTTGTGTATTGAATATTGTCATTAGCAGACAGGAAGGCAGACACACAGGTGTCAATAAAACAAGACATTGAGTTTTGTCTGTGACAACGACATATCTATATCACAGTTAGAAATTCTGTCAACGCTAAATAATGACATTGCTTTTAAGTATCGAACTGAGAAAGTGACTTGGTAAAAAGAACGTGTGGTGAAATAGACAAATGAAATTACATAAACAGTTAATTTACTGTCATAACATATGAAAAGCTCGCACCTGTGAAATATCAACAAAACATTAGAAAAATAGCTCACACCAAAGCCTTCACCGAGTATTCACCGGACAACCCACTTCCAAGCTGCTCGAACCTATTTCACTGCGCAAGTGCCATGAGCGCACCCCAGCTGTTGAAACCACTTGAATTCCCCCAAACGCTGGGGGAAAATTAGTGAATCGTTTGAACTACGATTTCGCGCGGTTTTTTCAATCGCGTTATTTTTTAACTTTATAAGTTGAATTTGCATTTTTGATGATTTGTTTCGGTAAGTCCATAACGAAAGGTATCAGAATCTGCAAAGTCGTGTTTTACGTTGCGTGTGACCTTTAACATATCTTCCGTGAAAAAAAAAGATATTTTTTGTGTATGTAGTTCACATAAAAGTGGGGCGGTGGGGTAGTCTAGTGGTTAAAGCGTTGGCTCGTCACGCCGAAGACCCGGGTTCGAATCCCCACATGGGTACAATGAGTGAAGCCCATTTCTGGTGTTCCCCGCCGTGATATTGCTGGAATATTGCTAAAAGCGGCGTAAAACCAAACTCAGTCAGTCACATAAAAGTACTTAGTACTTGCTTCAATATTCACACACCTAAATCATCTGCCACAATGAAAACGATATTAGGATGTTGTGCCGACGACAATGATAAAAAAATACAGAACTAGACCAAGGTGCTGTTGAACTCCATCCCATTCGCTAATTTAACCTGAATGAGACTACATGTTTCCCTGACAACACGACTACCGGAGAGTGTTAACATGGCTTCTTTGGCGTTGTGCTGATTACAGTGATAAGAAAATGGGAGCAAGGAGCAGCCGAACCCAAATCTCGTTTGCCTGTTTAAAAGAAGTAAGAGAGCTTTGTATTGCATGCCATATGTCTGTCTATCTGTATACCTTCCATTGTCCTAGAATAGACTGATTAACCCTTTCTTTGTCTAAGATGTGACCTACATGATCTGGCATTTGTAAAAATCACTGCTGTTCAACCTTCATCAACATTGTAGGAATATTCTAGCAACTTTTATGAGATTCAATGAACGCTATATATTTGGGTGCAGTCTACACTTAACATATATCAGTTTCAAACATAAGTGCAGAATGAAATATCATGGAAACACACAATATGTTCAAGAAAACACAAGTTAGATGTGAGTTAGTTTTACGTCGCTGTTAACAACACTCCAACAATATCACAGCGAGGAACACCCGAACTGAACTTGTGGGAATCATGTGGGACTCGAACCCGGGTTTTCGGCGTGACGAACGACGCTTTAACCACTAGGCTACCTCCATCGCGACAAATAGATAGAATGGAACTATGTCATCACATATACTCTCAGAAAAGTCATGAAATATAATGTTATGCTCGGTTGTAAGAACAAAGATCAGTTTCGAGAGCACTAACTTAACGTTCAAACGGTTTCCCACCCCGAAATTCATTATGAATATGCTTTTGTAATGAGCAAGCAAGCACCATAAACAGAAACAAATATGTATATTTGTTTAGATTATGTATTGGACAAATGACGCTCAGTCACAGAATATATGCAATGACTGATGTTTTAATTGGAATTTTCAAAAAGTATCAGCCGTCATGATTTAGCCAGCATTCTTTGCTCATGCTACAGTTGATCAGATATTAACCAATCACTCGTAACTCTGGCTATGTCCATTATAATTACTTTAATACGAAGCAACATTGATGTGGACAAGTGACAAATTATCCTATTTTGAACGTACAAAGTACACACTTTGCATGAACAATGTCTATTAGCTCCATCTGTTTAGCACCACCCAGGGCTCCAAACACCTCCAAAATTGCTTGGGTCAGAAGCTGGATCTCCATCAGGATAATTGGCTGGCACCATAGTCTTATTGTACTCCTCAAGCCTGGTTCGCAACTTCGCCACCATATCCGGCATCGTTTGTGCAAGGTTGTTGTGCTCAGTAAGATCCTCTGGATGTGTATAAGAATATTTGTTTAGAGAAAGAATGTTCTATTATCAAAACAACATGCATTTAAAACAATGATGGAAGCAGTCAGTGCCCTGAGATCGGGAAGAAGCTTATATTAGTTATAATCAGAAGATGAAAACCGAAAACATGTATCGGTATGTGTGGGTTCCAACAGCTCTTGTATATACTGTTTAAGGGATCGGGGATAATCACGAGTCCCTTCGAAAGACACTGCTAGTTTTCTTCGACGTATACGAGTATTCAGCACCTAGAATAACTATGAAAGGCAACACAGGTAGGTTAATCGAATACCTCGAATGTTGAAGAGATGGACTGGTTCATCTCCCGTGTAGAAAACTGGTTGTGCAGGGATATCATCCTCGGTTCTGTTCATAGGTTTGTGCCAGCCGTCAAAAGCTCCAGGATACCCCAGCATCAGCTTGTAGTCTCCTACCCTGATACATAGTAAGGCAGACACTGTCATATTCGATGAGCGTATCTTTGTTTTAAGATCACTAGTGGGTTGAGAGTAGTTGACTTGATATTGCATCTGAAGGAGGTCATTGATATACAAATCGTCATATGTACATGTAAATCACACAAATAAATATTTGCTTGAAAAGCAAGATGAAAGATACGACTTCTGAAAATACCTTATTGCAGCATGCCCTTCGAATGCATCTTCAAAGTAGTCAATGTTGTAGATGAACTCTGTCCTTGGAGAGGGGAGGCCATTTCGAATAGACTCCCACTGACTCATTCCATCAATAGTAGTTTCTGTGTCCACATACAATGAAAGGAATATAAACATTCGAAGTAAATTGCTTATGTGTTCCTTTTTGACAGAGGAAAACAGACTAAAGACAGTTTAAAATACCTCACCAGTTCTACAGTTACTACATACAGTACAACAAGAAATTATTGAGAATTTAAGATTGTAATTTCTTTTTTTCCACTCATTACTCACGTATTAAATGTGAATATTAGCAGAACATAACTCCAGATTCAAAGACAGGTGAACAGTTAGTATTTTGTCAAGTCACCATGGGCAGCAATGCAGGCTTCAATGCGGCGCGGCATACTACTGATCAAAGATAGTTAGAAAGTCGTGGCCCATGCTGTCCCAATATCGGACCACCTCTTCTTTTATTTCAGCAATATTTGTCAGATTTTTCTTATTGACACTTTCTTTCATAAGTCCCCAAACATTTTCTATTGGATTTAGGTCAGGGCTATAGCTTGGCCAATCTGATAATGTCATAATTTGGGTCCGAAACCAGGCCTGTGAATGCTTTGAACGATGTTTTGGGTCGTTGTCCTGCTGGAAAATCCAAACATTTCCATAGAACACGTGAGCAGATGTAAATGTCCCTCGAGAATATATGTGTACCGCTCACTGTTCATATTCCCTTTAAATACACAGAGGGGCGTTGCCCCTAACACAGATATGCCACCCCACACGTTAAATTTCGGACTGTACTTTGGGCGCTGATACAAAGGTTTTTCAGTTTGTTTGGTCCAGAAATTCAGTGTATTAGGAGACAGCCACACAGAACTTTCATCTGAGAAAATCCCATTGTCCCAGTTAAAATTTCTATGCTGTAAGCACCAGTTCAACCGTCGCTCCTTTTGTTCAGGTTTCATGATCGGTGATGGAATTCCTCGACTTTTCTGCCAACCCATTGCATGCAGCTCAGTTCTAATTGTCTCCTTACAGACAGCCACAGTTTCTCTATCAATCATATCGAGCCTTAAGTCTTCTAAACTCCTTCGTTTGTTTTTAGAAACAAGAATACCTAGCCGCCTCCTGTCACCGACAGTCAATTTTCTGGGCCTACTTGCGCCTCCCTGGTGCGCAATGCCATATCCATTTGCAATATTTTTCAAAACACGATAAACAGTGGATAAAGGGATGCCTGTTCTACTTGAAATCACTTTAGCTGATCTGATGTCCTTGTCATAATACTCTAAAATCAACTTCCTCTTCTTTAAATCATCCATACTGAGGATCACTGAAAATGCCGTCTGCTAGCAAGTAAACAAAGGTGGATAACTCTTCACAAACTAATGAAAAAGGATTAACGGAGTTGTCTCTCTTAAATGAAACCAAGCACTTGATAGCTGGTCAAGGTTGTTTATACTAGAAATCCAATTAAACATATTCCTAAAATTCTCAATAATTTCTGGTCAGACTATATATATACATACTATATTTTTGCTATTCTCAAGACAATAGGGGACATATTCAAGAATCTCCTCACCCGGAGTTCCACCAGCAGCAGATACCAAAGTTGGCTTCCAGTCGACGGCGTGGATCAGTCTGTTTAGAGGTAGAAAGAATTCACTTAGAAAATATACCATACATGTATGTGTTAAGCTCCCAAACAATGACTACATCATTATACTTAATTTAAATTGACGTACACAATAAGGTGAGGTGAAATGAGGTTTAACCTCGTACTTAAGAATATTTCGCTCACATGACGAAGTGCATGCAGGAGTGTGGCTGCTTGTACTATTCCAAACTGAAGCTGGTTTTATAGTGCTAGCTCACTGAAACAGCATGTCGCAGTTAAGTATGAATACCCCGCTTACACACAATATACTGACTCGGAGCTGACTAGTCCTTGCGGTACCCATTAATGCCAAGCTTCAGGCAGGGACCAACAAGTACCATATTTTAACGTGTTTTGGTATTACGCGGCCGGGGATCGAGCCTGTGACCTTCCACTCTCCGGGCGGACGCTCTAACCACTACACCATGGAAGCAGTTTGTACACATTAAACAGAAAGAGGAATAGAAAAAGTATTTCGCTGAAGGTGTATTTTGAATTTCCTTACCTGCCATAAAATTAGTTTAGTGAGATTTTTTTTTTTTTACACGTCTGTGACAAGTGCATGTCTAGGCTATTGTCTTTTGCTGATTTACCGGGGCGGTTGGGTAGCCTTGTTGTTAAAGTGTTCGCCCGTCAAGCCGATGAACAGGGTTCGACTCCCCACATGGGTACAATATGTAAAACCCACTTCTGGTGTCAACCGCCGTGATATTGCTGGAATATTGTTGAAAGCGGCGTAAAACTAAACTCACTCACGCATTGCTGATTTACAGTATGTCTGTTGAAATTCGAAGTAGGATAATATATTTTACTTTGGATCATCACTGGAACACTTCTGTAAAATATCTAAATGTATTCTATTTATCATGAATTTATAACTATTTTTAGTCACGATATGGTTGCAATACTGCCGCTGTGACTATGAACTTTAATTCACTCACTCTAAATGTATTTTATAGCGTTACCCATCGTGTGTCGTCCCAGTCTTCTGGAGCCCAGCACCATACATGAAGGATGCCCCCCTTCGTGCCCCCTTCCCAGATCGTGTACTTCCCTCCTCTCAAAGGCCAATTGTTAGCATACGCTTCGATGGGGCCTCCATTCTGAATTAGCATTGGTTTGTTATCAGAAAGATTGTTTGTTACAAGATTAGAACTTTGACCATCTTTACACAAATATTCCTTTTTATGTTTAAATATATATTTAAACAGTAATTGTCTCTAAACAGTGATCACTCTCATTCAATCAATCAAGGACAATACGTGATTTCCAGTGAACATAACTCAATTACTCATAACTCAAACTCAGCTCACCGTAAAATTCTTATTCATTCCAGATTTCAATCCCTTAAAATCACATTGCCACCACATCAAAGGAATTATACAAAAACAACCCATTCTGCTTCCCAGGAATACCCCATTTATTGAAACTCATCGTTTACTGAAATAAACACGCTCATGTAGCAGTTCAATTTCTTCTTGATTCTCATATTCCTAATTAAAAAGCATGATTTTCATTATGTATTTCTATAGAGCTGGTAGGTGGCTCATGCTTATAATTTTGTCAGACGTAATTACATGTATATACAATTGCAACTGCTTTCATTCATAAGAAGACAACTACGTATACAATGAAATAGGAACAGTTTTTTTCAGCACCCATTTGCAAAAATAGAGGATGTAATACTTTTTTTTTTGGCAAGTTATATGTAATGATAAAAATCAAGCGCTGTAGGCTGATTAGTCATTATTCACAAAGCTGCCCACACAAGTCACGAAAATCATACTCTTCATTTTCGATTGAAATATCGATCCAAAGTTGCAACTAGCAGTTTGATGGAACATAACTATCCAGAAAAACAAGTACCTGTTGCTGTAACTATAGAGAAAATGAATTTACGTTTTCATTAACTGAAACAAATGTGCACAAATAGCACGTCGGCGTACTCCTGATGCTGTAATGAGTGAGTGAGTTTAGTTTTACGCCGCTTTTAGCAATATTCCAGCAAAATCACGGTGGGGGACACCAGAAATGGACTTCACAATGTACCTATCTGGGAAATCGAACCCGGGTCTTCGGCGGGACGAACGAACGCTTTCAACAAGTGGGCTATCCCACCGCCCCTGATGTTGCGATGGTGACATCGTGATGTTCGTAATGTATACCATTGACCTCATATGTGGCATACGTGTCTTTCTCTTGTTGCGTGATCCAATTGCAGTTTCTGTTGCAGCCCTCGATTGCATGCTTGTTATAATTCTGTTAGCTTTAGGCAAATATTATTTAATATTGAAAACAAGTATCAACATTTTTAACAAGACTTTATACCGACATCAATATCATTCTGTAGGAAGTGATTGAAAATTAACTCTCCCTATTATACTGCAACTACTTACATCTGCGGTGAATAGAATCAGAGTATTTTCAAACAAGCCCCGATCCTTCAGGGCTTTGGTAACATTCCCGACTGCCTCATCCAGTGCAGACACCATTCCTGTTGGGAGAAGAAGCTGTTGACCAGTGCTTTGAACAGTATTTCAGATATTTCATGGTGTGTGAACGTTATGATGGTCACTCAAATCAAATGCATGTTACAAAGTAAATTTGAAATTTGTTCTTTTGTTAACTATGTAGATTTCAGTGATAACTGTGAAGGAAATACGGATACAAACTACATACCACTGTACTGTCTCCGCCCTTGGTTAATCACATTTGGATACATATCCTCATACCTCTTCGGGACCTGTGATGTTAAACTTTGAGGTACATACATTGACAAAGAAACATATTCATATCCAGTGTAAGCAAAGGTAAACAATGCCGTCAGTAATACCGCCATAATCCCATTTGCATGTAAATATTCAAACAGACAACAGATGCTCTCATTGCTGTGATTTCTATGTACCTCAATATGAGCATGTACACATTGATACGGGAGGTACACGAAAAATGGTTTTGCTCCATATGCATTATTAACAAACACATGTAAAATCCCCCCTCACTGACACAACAAATATATATATAATACGAGAAAAGATGTCAAAGTAAACTGGTACACGTTATCAATATACTGTGCATTTCATGTACCTCAATTGGACCATGCACACTTTGATACGGGAGGTACATAAACAACGGCTGTGATATATTGTGACGATGGATGATGTCAACGGCTCTCTGGGCGAATGTGTTCTGAAATGAGAAACCGATGATGAATAGGAACATTTACACTCACCAAACCAACAAACAGCCCAGAGGATATAGATATATCGCAGAAAGTATGAGTTTTTAAACACAATTCTCATTGCTATCACGAAATTGAAAAAAAAAATATTGTTAATCTGTTACAATACTTACAGCAGAATATTCTCCAGAATAGTTTCTTGCGGGAAGCTTATTGTCTCTGAAGTCCAAGTACCCCCCTGATGAAATATAAATTAAATATGTGGAACTATTGTACACGTGTTCACATTGACATAGTTGTACTGATAGTACATTTTACAACCATATGCATCAAACAAACGGTATCATGCCCACCGTCAGAGTGAGTGAAGTAGTCTTCAGTCGCAACGTAATAACCCAGGAAAGTATCAAAGCCTCGGTACGTTGGGGTGCACTCCCACTTGCAAAAACCAAGATGCCATCTGAAATGAAAGTGAAAACTTACAGTTCTGCTCCGAAATGCCACTTAAAATTAATCAGATATGCACTTTTGTACAAATCGAAACGCCACGACAACATGCATGAATATATGTACATTGGTGTACATGTAAGAGAACGATTGGTCCAGAAGATAAAATAAAGATTCCAATATTGCATCCACTGAAGATCTTTTATTTATTCCATTTGATATGTTATGGTTTTTGTTTTCCTTGATGGTACCTACTTTCCAATTATGTGCGTAGCATAGCCGAGTCCCTTTAGTTCCTGGGGGAGTAGTGTATAGTTGAGGGGCACACATACGGGTTGGTCACGGACAAGTGCCATGTGCTGAAAAGGAAATTGACTCTGTTGTGAAGTGATAATGAGTTTCTTCCAGTATCAGGAAAGAGGACCAAAGGAAGCTATAGACGAACGACCCCCACCTACAGTCAAAAACTTCCAGTTGAACACTGAGTGAAAGATGTAACCTAAAACAGTAGAAGAATTTCTTTTAATACAATCAACATTTTTTTATGGACATGAACTACAGTATAAATATTTCGCTTAATGCATTTATTTATGTCCTAATATATATTGCATATAAGATGAATGGGGATTCATTACAAATGTTATTTCAATAGGGAAACAATAAATTAATCAATCGACCCTTAGTTTATCGGCATTTCCCAAGTCATTGGTAAGGTTGATATCGTGAAAATTGAAAATCCAACGAGTGATGACTTCTATTTATCATTTTCACATTACTGTTTCTCTGTATAGAACTGGTTGCATCAGCATTAAGTAACTTATCGTGTGTTGTGATACATGATTTCCATTGCAAACACTGGTTTCATTATGAACCAAAATTTAAAAAAACCCTGCTGACTCTTTGTTGGCATATTTATTCGCTGAAAAAGGAGATTATCCTATTATTTACAAATAATACTGAAACAGAGTTGGCAAAATAAATGAAACGATCACTACATCGATTCTGTGTTATTTGATTATGTTAATTCACTGCTTTCGAATCAAACCATCTGAGAGGTCAGACCACGCTTTAGTCGGTGTCACTGTCACTGTAGATGACAATCCAGCGTCTTGTGAGTGGAATCCGGCTTGGAGGTTTCGCGAGATTAATCGTTATCTTTCCCACAGTAACCTTGTCGGCAAACATAGTGTTGACACCTTAAAGGTATACAATATGTGCTCTTGTGTGTCGACGATACAAGTCCCACTTTCATTTGTCTAATGTGCTTACTTAAATGGTATGACATGTTTTAATGTTATAAGCTTATGTCTTGGCTAAATGCGTTAGGTAAATGATAAAGGATATATTTACCTGCATGCCTGCATGGAATGGATACATTCCACTCATCAGAGCTGTACGGGATCTGAAAGTGTGTGAAGTGATATCTGTGTAATATTGTAATACCATTACACGAGTTCAGTAAGAAAGCTCATCCTAAAATCAATTAATTTCTTCAAACCCCCAGATGAATTTTGAGTTTCAAAATGTATATACACTTTTGATGTCCGTTATGTGATTAAATTTGATTGATCATGTAGCTAATTTCATATACAAGTGCGAATTAATGGGGTTTTTTATTCGTTGCACAAATTTGACGTAATGATGTTTGTTATGTCACTCATCAAGGTAGTACAGGATCTGAAACAATGAATGACCTGTGTATTCCATTACACAGTTAGTTCATTTGGCAGTTAGAAAATGTATTATTCGTTACATGTACAGGTGCGTGCGTGCGTGCGTGCGTGCGTGCGTGCGTGCGTGCGTGCGTGTGTGAATGTATTCCCTGACCTGCGTTCGCTTGAGGTAATGTCTTTTGTTAAAACACTTATGGTTCTTGTTAAGTGAGAGCGAAAGAATGTAACAATTTACGGGCTGCAAAGAGGCTGGACGTATGCATTATTGAAGATGATTCCCTCTGTGGCAAGTTTGTCGATGTTTGGGGTCTTCATGTCAGGATTCCGGAAACCAAGATCATTCCATCCTGCACAAACACAGAGAGATTTCCCCGAATGCACTGCTTTGACAGAGTTTATACACTATCGTAGTAATACCATTAAGATAACGATTAATTATAAGCTACTGGCATAAACTACAATGTAACGATTACCCAATTCAGCGGTCTAAAATGACCTATGACTATTTAAAATTACGACCGTAATATGTCTCAAAACACTTGGCTATTGTTTATTATAGAGATTCTAAATAACTGTGAATTAACACATGTAATAAATAACGCCCATATGTACGATGACCAATGGATGGCTTCTGCGATCAATCGAATATTTACAAAGACCAATTTATTAAATCCTGGCGTAGTGAAATTAGAAGCAGTACACAAGCTAATTACGATAGAGTCTTCAAAACTATTCCATTTTTCGATAATTATCTGTTGCGTCCAAAGTCACTTTCACACACTTTACTGACAATTAGAACCTCTAACCATTACTTTCCTGTAGAGACCGGTTGTTGGAACAATATACCACGTGATCAGAGGAAATGTTCCCTTTGTAATACATCTGGCATTGCTGACGAATTTCATTACCTGTTCCGATGTTCAGCCTTTACAGAACCTAGATCAAAGTTCATCAGTCCGCGTTATTATAATTTTCCAAACAATTGAAGAACCTTCTTAGCTAAAAGATGTTAAATGTCATGTCGATCATGTTAGTTGTAATACTGCTAATTTCAAAGATATGCTCTTCTACCACCGTTGGTGGTTACTGAGAATTACAAGACCTTGAAACCTTGTAACCTTGAGACACATTGAGAGTAATCTTAGAAGCTTCTATTTCAGAAGGTACTGAACATAAAATAATTTTGTAATTGCTTTCAAAATCTGCACTCACCTAAATCATCTGCCACGATGAACACGATATTAGGGCGCTCGGCCGATGTCAACGATAGGAAAAACAGGACCAGAACAAGGACCTTTTGAACAACCCCCATCACGTTTGCTTGTTCAAACTAAATGAGACTGCATTCTGTTATTTGGCACAAATCTGTCTGTACAGAGATCGGTGTAAGAGTAAGGACTGATAAGCGATATCTTTTCTCCAAGGTGACAATCACTGCGACATACATTCCTGTCTGAACAAGAACATATGCTCGATATTGTAGAAATTTGCACTCGTGAGAAGCTTGATGAGCATTTAGAAGTTGGAAAGTAACATAACAGCATATGGTATGGATTCACAACTTCTTAACGTTGTTATGTCTTTCGTGAGAGTAATATACGAGTGGGTGAGTGAGTCTGTAAATAATCGAGTCTGGACCAGACAATCTAGTGATCAACAGCATGAGCATCGATCTGCGCAATTGGGAAGCGATGACATTAGTCAATCAAGTCAGAGAGCCTGGCCACCCGATCCTGTAAGTCGCCTTTTACGACAAGCATGGGTTGCTGAAAATCAATTCTAACCCGGACCTTCACGGGTCAGTAAAACATGGAGAATATTAGTATTTAAGCTCGTATTTAAGCAAGACGAGTCGACTACAAACCTATGTTATCATTTGGAGATTGATGTGGTTCACGGATAGTGTGTGTGTGTGTGTGTGTGTGTGTGTGTGTGTGTGTGTGTGTGTGTGTGTGTGTGTGTGTGTGTGTGTGTGTGTGTGTGTGTGTGTGTGTGTGTGTTTGTTCATTAGGCCACCTCAAACGTTTATGTTTGGACCACACACATCTCTCATGGTTTACAAAAGACCACCAAATGTCTACTTGATTGTCATGTAGCATGTAACACCTAGTCCTCCATATTTCCCATCTACATCCAATACCAATATTCGATAGCGCCTCTGGGTTGCCTGTGAGTAGAGATAATTTGGTAACTGAGTGAGTGAATAGGGAATCAATTCAGGAACTGCAAGAGGACTAAACACCCTCCTATTATCATTTGGAGATTGATTTGGATCATGAAACGTCAAACAAAGGGATATCAGGCTATTTATTGGGGCATAAGGCATTGGTTTATTAGTTTTGATTCCACTGTACCGTATTGTGGTTTAAACAATATGTATTCTTGTACTTAAGGCATGTACAGTGGGATTGACACACAATGTTACCCCTATATTAATGTCTCTCCCCAAACAAATGCATATTGCAACAGGATATTTACATCAACAATTATTATGCATTCATGTAGAAAGCATTGTGACATACTGATATTTTCACGCAAAACGTTTGCTTATTGATATAAACTTATGAACGGATTAGATTATTTTGTATTGATATGATTTGATAGGTTCTTATTGCCAAATAATACAATGCTCAAGTTGTGACCATTGACATAAAAGTAGCTTACATGACGAATATCTGCATAATTTGGGCATATAAATAAGTAGTGATGTGCATCCTCATACGCATGACCACACGAACATCGTGAATCATTGACAATAAATCTATCAAATGTACGACCATTTAAGTTGCTGCATCCCAATCTAATAGACAATTTTGATTGTTTCTAAGTCCATAATTCTGCACAATTTCGTGTCCATCACTATTGTCACTATGCAATCTGTTTTTAAATATTGATATCGATTTTGAATCCTTTATATATCCAGCGAGGTTATTCCATTCGACAATAGCAGACGGCAAGAAAGATCGTTTATATAATTGCGTACGGCAATTCGGAACTTAAATATTATCAGAGTTTCTTGTTTCATAAGGTGATAAGCGATGGCTTGTACGAGGTATGAGCTCCGATAAATATTCAGGCGTCAAATTTGAAATCATTTTATAAAACAAGTTCATTTTATGATTGTACCGTCTTATGGCTAATGAAATGAACCCAGTTTCAGTATGAAGTTTTTGATGATACGTACCCTTCACAGCACCACAAATAGCTCTCAGCGGATCTAAATGAAGTTTTTCATGAAGGTACTCTTGTGATTTTTGTGTACTCTTGTACAATTATTCCAAATATGATCGCAGTAATCAAAGATTAAAAGAACTATACAAAGTCTTTAGACTTTGACTTGTTAATCGACATTTAAGGCAACGTAGACAGTTGATCATCGGACTAACTCTATTTACAATTTGTTCAATGTGAGAATGCCACTGGCCATCCTTCTGAAAATTTAAACTAAGCTATCGATGTTTGTGATTTTCAACCTCTGCAATGATTTGTCGGGGGGTGGTGTATGGTGAGTCAATGTGTTCAAGGAAATTCAATATATACAAAATAAAGTGTGTCGACATTACCTTGGAACAGGAATTAATTCCAGTAACAAAGCTATAAGAGGAGAGATGGGCTGGACTTCCTCCTCTGTGATGCAACATATTGAATTGTACAGATTTTTCTTCCGTGTTAGAAATACGCCTGAATCACGCACAGCTCGTAGGATTCATGACTGGTCCTTTAAACTTAATAAATCTTGGATTAACAGAACTATCAAATCCTCCACAGATTGAATGCTGAGTGGAGTATTACTGAAAATTGGAGTATACAGAAAATATACAGTTTTTAAAATTATTTTTAAGTTACCGTGACGGCCTGGAGTGGTCTCAGAAAGTATGGGATGATGCCGGGAGAATGAATGGTAATAAACTAACAACTTACACATGTTTTAAATATGACTCTACTGTTAGCCCTTATGTTAAATGCATTTTGAAGAGAGAAGAAAGAAGTGTTCTCGCCAAGTTCCTGAGTGGTTGTCTCCCTTTAGACGTAGAAACTGGTCGTTATACCAAGCCAACCATTGCGCTGGAAAATAGAATCTGTAGATACTGCCATAATACAAATACCATTGAAGATGAACGCCACTTTTCAGTGAATTGTGAATTTTATTCAGACCTGAAGTTTGACCTGAGGAAGGAAGCAGAGACAATAAACCCATCCTTTACTGATTATAATGAAGACATGAAGTTTATTTTCCTCATGATATGCGTTATTTTACAGTAGCTTCTTGCAAATACTCTAACAGTAATGTTTAGAGGCGGCGAGCAGCCATATGATTACATACAGTGCCCTCCAACAACCCTTCTAATATATCCCTTTTATTTCATTTTTAATATCTGAAAGTCATTCTATCGCATATTATTGTTTTGTTGATAAATAATGTGTCTCATAGGCCTTATGGCCGGACATCTGTATTCTATGAACATTTTAAATTGTCTGTTTTAACATTGTATTATACAGATGTGTGACACAGAAAAAAACTATTTCCTCTCTCTCTCTCTCTCTCTCTTAAATTTGGACTCTTTTAGATCAGTATCTCTCTCTCCTATCAGGCTCTCTCTCTGGAGGTCCCAATAAAAGGCGCTCTCTATTAGCTCTCTAGTTGCTTCAGTAATGATTTTATGTCAGACCATATAACCTCTCTCTCTCTCTGGTAATGTTGGCATCAGATATGTTTAATAAATTAATATTAAAATCACCTTAAATGACTGTTTTATGTTTGTATCTACTGCCCTGGCAATAGAATCGTCAATTAGATCCCAATAAAGGCGCGATTATTAGCTCTATAGAAGTTACCTATACGCATGATTTATTTTTTTAAGTTATGTCAACTCAGACCGCTTCGAGTCCTGGAAGTTCATAGTCTTTTTCTATGTTTAACATGCAAGTTTTCTTTAATGTAAATTACGACGACGCCTCCACGTGAAGGCCGGTCTCAATGTACTGGTGGGTGATACCGCGACAGCGTGATGTTGTCATTGCTTAGGCCCGCGTGCAGCCACGTTTCCGTAATACAAATTACGTCAAAATTGTTATTTCAGCATAAACAATATTGTAAACTACAAACATTTACATGGACAATACTTACATCGGTGTATTCTGAGCCACGATTTGGATGCACATCACCACTACACAGTAATAACAAAAGCGTCAGTCTAATACCAGGTATCTCCAGGCAACAGATATTATCAAAAAGCACGTTATCTAGTCTAGTTTACACTTTACGTTACAACAAAGTTTAACACAGAATGTCCCTATCCTGTGTCTGTAAAACATTATATCAGAGTATATACTCATAATGTTCATCATAATGCATCCAAAAAGCACAGCAATAATACTACCTTCTGTATGATAGGTGGGGTGGTGGGGTAGCCTAATGGTTAAAGCGTTGGCTCGTCACGCCGAAGACCCGGGTTCGAATCCCCACATGGGTACAATGTGTGAAGCCCATTTCTGGTGTCCCCCGCCGTGATGTTGCTGGAATATTGCTAAAAGCGGCGTAAAACCAAACTCAGTCAGTCTGTATGATAGGTAGATGGTACTGTACATCTTGGTTATACACTTGCACATAACATCCATGGTCACTCCATATAATACTACCTTCTGTATGATAGGTAGATGGTACTGTACATCTTGGTTACACACTTGCACATAACATCCATGGTCACTCCATATAATACTACCTTCTGTATGATAGGTAGATGGTACTGTACATCTTGGTTATACACTTGCACATAACATCCATGGTCACTCCATATAATACTACCTTCTGTATGATAGGTAGATGGTACTGTACATCTTGGTTATACACTTGCACATAACATCCATGGTCACTCCATATAATACTACACCCTGTATGATAGGTAGATGGTACTGTACATCTTGGTTATACACTTGCACATAACATCCATGGTCACTCCATATAATACTACACCCTGTATGATAGGTAGATGGTACTGTACATCTTGGTTACACACTTGCACATAACATCCATGGTCACTCCATATAATACTACCTTCTGTATGATAGGTAGATGGTACTGTACATCTTGGTTATACACTTGCACATAACATCCATGGTCACTCCATATAATACTACACCCTGTATGATAGGTAGATGGTACTGTACATCTTGGTTATACACTTGCACATAACATCCATGGTCACTCTATATAATACTACCTTCTGTGTGATAGGTAGATGGTACTGTACATCTTGGTTACACAATTGCACAAAACATCCATGGTCACTCCATATAATACTACCTTCTATATGATAGGTAGATGGTACTGTACATCTTGGTTACACACTTGCATATAACATCC